ATATGCTTATATAGAGGATGGAGGGAATGTTTGTATCAGAAAATTAAGATGTTCTACTGTATTCAAATATGAGTAAAGTTTATTTTTCTGATTATAACAGCGATATTTATCATTAGAGAAATCTGTGGAATGTAATATAGACAGAAGCTGCTTATAATTCAACAATGCTGTGGCTACATAGTTGTATTTCCTTTCTGAACTCCCAAGCCCATTACATAGTGTTATGATAATCTATAAAAGGAACTAATTTTTATTGCAACACTGAATCTCTGATTTAACATTCTGAACATACCCATTTTCCATTTTGTCTTCTACCTCATTCTCTTTTTTGAATTGTCTGAATTCTTACTACATGGTGGGAAATTAAAATATAATTAGTGAAATGATGTGCATGCATCTTGTAAATCTGTTATCTGTTTTGTCAAATGAGTGGTCAAGAGAAGGGACAGCCCACTGGGTAGAAGCAACTATTTCATTCTGAGTAGCACAGACTTATATACACTATTGATTGTGACTAGTGATGACACAGGAGAGCATAACCATGGCTGAACCAGTGAATGAAAGGGTGTGAAAAATATGCTTAGTCTTAAAAATCAATGGTAGTATTCTTGCTAATTCCATGGCTCGACTTTAGGAAATGAAGAGAATGCAGAAAACGGGGGAAGATATTGGAAAAAAGTCATTAGAAGCAGATTTCAATATACTGATAATTTGGACTGTTGGCAGACAGATTTCCATTCTACTTCTAGGGAAGTGAATGGTGAGAAAGTGGAGGATCTTAAGAGTCTCCTTTCCCCTTGTAACATTTCAGCACCTCCCTTCTCCTTCTGTCTAACCTTCAGAGTGCAGAATTAGACCACTTTAGTTTACTTGTTTCCTGAAAAGCCTCTAAGTGTATTGCTGTATTATCCCAACTTCAGAGGGTATAAAATAAACCTTATTACTTAAAATATATGTATAAAAACATTGTTTAATTTTCATCCACATTTTGATTATAGCCTTTAATGCTGATTCAGAAAGGTTCACAATTAAGACTGGATAAGTAAAGGTTGTGGAGGGCTGGTAGCTTCTATGGTCAAGACTTACTGACCATGTTGCTGGTCTTGATCATGTTCACTGGTTAGTGCTGCAATATTCTCTGCCTTCCCTCTGGTGGGTATCTCTACTATGCTTTGCCTCTGGCATCTCAGATTTATACAGAATTTCCTCTGGGAACTACCATTTTTCTGGCTAGGTTACACATCCCTCTTTGATATTCCCATCTCCCCTCTTTGATATTCAGACTTCTCCTTAATGGATGGTAATATTTAATTACTCTATGAATTTCCCTTGGATTCAGTAGAACATGATAATGCCAAGAAAAAAGCTCATCCACACTCCCAGAAGACTCTGGCTTGCACTCTCTTTCCGAATGATGATATTGTGTACTGCATGCGCAGCAGTGTTTTAGTCAATGATAATACTAAATCTCCATCATGATATATATACAAGGACCACCTTACCATTGGTTACTAAACCATATCTGCATGTAAGCAAAATCTCATCATTCTTTCTAAAACATCCCTCAGTGATATGTAGGAGTTCACACAGATCCTCTTACATGCAGTGAGGACCACAGGCACTCATGTTTTTGTTTTATTTTTGCTACAGCCTCCTCATCATGGTGCCTGGCCACCATCCTGCTACAGGTACTTTCATTGCAAATGTGTCACCATTGCTATGTTGCTGGCATCTACCCATAGTATGGCTACTTCAGCTTCATCCCTTTATGCACTAGGCTCAAAAACAGTGTTCTGGGCCAGGCAACAATGAGATAGGGACAATGGGTGACACTTCTCTCCAACTATCCTTTTTCCCCATGATGTCTCTCCTGATCTCAGTACAAAACCTTCTTTTATCCTGGCAATATCCTTCCCACCCTCTCCAAAACAAAACCCTTTGCATATCAGCTCACATAATTGTGATCCCAATGTGATCACCAGGTTGATGACAAATTTTCAAATAGTGAGATCCAGGCAGAAAATTATTAAAATTAAAAGCTTCATTATGTACTTTTATAGATAAGTATAATTTTTCAAAATTAGGTGAAAAATGTATCTCAAACACTATTCATGTAAAATATTTTCAAATAAATGTATAAGTAAACCAACCTAAACTACAATTCTGAAGTTTCTTATTTAAATACTGAAGGAACTCATCTCTATAGTTGGTGAGGGCATGGGGGATTAAGAAGCTTTTCCAAGGTCAGTTCAAAGTTTATCAGCCAAGGATGAGACAAGATTGCAGTTTTGCTGACTCCATCGCAAAGCTGATTCCCCAACTCATGATGTCCATGCCTTAAGTACTATAATTACTTTAAACTATTGGGGAGGGAGAAGAGGAGACACATTCTAATTCTAAGTTGATCTTTTAGTGCATTTTCCTAAGTTACATATAAATAAGATTTGCAAATCATATCACAGATATATGAAGAATGTTAATTAACAACTCGTAAATATTTAAGTGATTTGAGCTGGATTTCTAGTTGATTTCTCATGACAAACATGCCTTTTTCATCTCTGTAATATTGATCACATTTATTTATTTTGCTCAAATGGTCTTCTGGGCTGCAGGGCATTCTTTCTTAGTTAAAAGACACTAATAATTACATAGACTTAAAGCAACAGAACATAGCCACAATAAGATACATATGAAAAACAAGCCTAGAACTAGATAAGCCCATCCATAAGCTGCTCACTTAACAGTTAGAAACTAGTTTTACTTGGAAGTGGAAGCAGAATACCTCTATTCAAGAGCTGAAATAGCCCTCAAATTCTTAAAGTTTTCATTTTAAAACCACTCTGGAGGGCCTCCCCGGTGGCACAGTGGTTGAGTGCTGGGTTGCGAAGCTGCCCGCAGCCTCTGCAGTGCCAGTTCGATCCCTGGCCGCTGGTCGAGGGTCCCACATGGTGCTCAGACCTCTCCTGCCGCCCGCTGCTCCCCTCAGCAGTGTGTTTCGTCAGTCTGCCTGCTCTGCTCCCTGCTCTTGCTCTGGTGAATTCTCTCACACTCCCGTGCTTCTGACTGTACCCAATGCTTGTATAAATAAATAAATAAATCTTTAAAAACAAACAAACAAACAAAAAAACCTCTGGGAGCAACACACAGATTGCACCATTTTCAGCAGCCCAGACTAATGCAGTCATTCATTAAAAAACAGTTGTTTTTCCTTAAAGTAGGATTATCACTGTGTTAGATAATTAATTTGTGTTTTGTATAATCTGTAATGGAAACATACATATATTTAAGTAAACATATTCAAAGATCTATGTGATACATTCCTTCTAGAATTTCATGTCAGAAAAACACTTTCCTCCAGATGAACTAATTTCATTTCATTCAACAGACAATTTTTTTAATAATAAATTTTATTTTTATATTCCCCATACAATTTCAACCCCCCCCATTGACAATTTAAACTTTGTAAACTTTCCACATTTTCCTTGAGTGCTAGGACATGCAGAACTAAATCAACCAATTGCAAAACTCTCTTACTTTTCTCATTACATGATTTCTGATTTGTATCTTTTCTTTATTTTTTCAATAATACTTATTAATTTAAAGTCACAAAATTTAGCAATGTGTACAAAGCAAAAATATTGTCCACAACTCTGCTAGACAGCCACCATTAACACGGTGCGGCACATACTTAAATTTTTCCTACTAGTATAATAAATATGTATCCGTATATATATATTTTTAAAGATTTATTTATTTATACAAGGATTGGGGTACAGGGCCTCCCCTGGAGGCGCAGGTGGTTGACCGGCGCGCTGTGAAGCTGTCCGCAGCCTTTGCAGCGCTGGTTCGATCCCGGCCAGCCGGCGAGGGCCCAACATGGCGTGGCAGACCTCTCCTGTCTCGCCCGCTGCTCCCCTCAACAGTGTATTTCGTCAGTCTTCCTGTTCTGTTCCCCGCTCAGACTCTGGAGAATCCTCTCACCTTCCCGCGCATCTGGCCTATACCCTGGTTCTTGTATAAAACAAATAAATAAATCTTTAAAAAAAAAAGAACTAGGGTACAAGTTAGAGGCGTGGGATGGTGCGAGGATTCACCAGTGACAGAGAAGGGAGCAGAACAGGCAGATGGACCAAAGACCACATGGTCTGTCACACCACGTGGGCCTCTACCTGGCGGCCGGGAATCGAACCCGTGCTGCAGAGGCTGCGGAAAGCTTCACAGCGCTGCGCTGAACCAGCGGCACCACTGCAGAGGCCCTGTATCCACATAAACCAGTGGCATTGCATATGTATCTTACAAATAGTTTTTTCACTTAGTAATAGGACATAATAATAATTTTTCTATGCTAATAAATCCAGAACTACAGAGCCAAGTTCAGTGGTTGCATAGCTTTCCACAGCATGGATGTATACATAACTGAAAAAAATATCTACCCCCTAGGGTAGATAGCACCACCCTAGCCCTAGCACCACCTAGGGCCTCCCTGGTGGTGCTGGCTGTTGAACGCAGCGCTGCGAAGCTGTCCGCAGCCTCTGCAGTGCGGATTCCATCCCCACCAGCTGGGGAGATACCCACATAGTGCGGCAGAGCTCTCTTGTCTCCCCCACTGCTCCCCTCAATAGTGTATTTCAGTCAATTTGCCTTTTCTATTCCCCTTTCTATCTCTGGTGAGTACTTTCACCCTCCTGCACATCTGACCTATATCCAGGTTCTTGTATGCATGAATAAATAAATCTTAAAAAAAAAATCTATGCCCTAGATAACTCCTTCAGGTTATTTTTATCTTTAAATCGTAAATATCTTACTTAACTGTTTGTCTTTTTATTGTAAGCCCCTTAAAATTGTCTTTCAAAATCGCAGGTGTAATGAATGAATAAATGAATGAATAAAATTCTAGGGATGGCCTCAGTTTTACAATTATAATTAGCTTGCGTTAGCATTATCATGTTTTCTTTATGATGCTATTATTCTGGAGAAGAATAATTTCCTTTCTTTCCTAGGTCTCAGCCAAAATGAGCGAAACTCCTCTTAGTTTTTCTATGATTCATCCAACTTCTTCTGAAGGTCAGGTGTCTTCCCAGCGCCATGTGAGCCTCACTCATCCTGTTGTGGCCAAAAGGATCAGCTTCTACAAGAGCGGAGACCAGCAATTCGGCGGGGTTAAAGTGGTAATCAATCCTCGTTCGATGAAGTCATTTGATGCTCTGCTGGATAACTTGTCAAAGAAAGTGCCTCTACCTTTCGGGGTGAGGAATATCAGCACCCCGCGGGGAAGGCACATCATCACGAGCCTGGAGGATCTGGAGGATGGCAAGTCATACCTGTGCTCTCACGGCAAGAAGGTTCAGCCAGTAGACCTGGAAAAGGTTCGCAGGCGCCCACTTCCTTGGCTTAGCAGTCGGGCCGTCATCACGCAGGCTCACCGCGCCCACGCAGCTGCCGCGGCTGCTCCCCACATGCTGCGCGCCCCGCGGAGGCTCGTGGTCTTCCGGAACGGCGACCCTAAGACGAGGCGTGTGGTCCTTCTAGGCAGGCGGGTCACCCAGACGTTTGAGGCCTTTCTGCAGCACCTGACAGAGGTCCTCCAGTGCCCGGTGACTAAACTGTATGCCACGGATGGAAGAAAGGTGAGCGTTCTGCAGGCTCCTCTCTTTTGAGCTGAGTAGCGGAGCGAGCCCCAGGAAAGGGAAGGCCTCGTGGTGGGCGCGCGTGTGTGTATGCGGGTGCTCTGGATGGAGAGTGTGCATGTGGGAACTTGTCTGTGTGTTTTTCCACGTTCCTGGAGGGTGCTGGTGCTCTTGGGTGGAGGGTCAGAACTGGACGAGGCTTCGGCCACAATCGTGATACTCTTTTTTTTCTACCACGTACTCCCTTTCTCCTGTTCCTGAGCACCGAATCTAATCCTATATTGGTGATATTTCTTGAAAAGGAATAGCCAACAGCGATATTTTATTAGGTATAGAAAGCATTTTCTTAGGATACCTGCAAATAGCATCTCGGGGGAACTTCCCCATGCAACTGACAGTGTTTTTACAGGAGCTAACCTTTTAGGCCCTGCCCTGCCCTCCACGTCCTTTCTTAGCTGGCTGAGGGTAGACATTTGGCTACAGCTATATATTTTCGTGAGGGAAGTACAAGGAAGTACTGCATATGTTTTAGATTTCTTTAGTAAACAGAAGACAGGTTTCTTCAGCTAGTAGGTAGGCTGAATAAGGTCAGTAAGGATGTTGTTTGTAACCAATCCATGGACATCCCCTCCTTCCTACCCACCTCCCCCAACCTCCCTAGCTTTGGTATTTTCAGTTATCATTGGTTTGGTGAGGATACCTTTCAAGCTTGGGAGGTTGTTAAATTGATTCAGTCAGTTACAAAATTACACATGGAAAGAACTAAACTCCCTTTGCTTATGTAGGGACAATAACTCTTTTATTCCTTCTAGGTTCCTAGTCTCCAGGCGGTGATCCTGAGCTCTGGGGCTGTGGTGGCAGCAGGAAGGGAGCCATTCAAACCAGGAAATTATGACATCCAAAAGTACTTGCTTCCTGCTAGATTACCAGGGATCTCACATCATGTGTACCCCAAAGGAATTGCTAGGTCAGAAAGCAGAAAGAGTAAGTCACTTAAATAAATACATCGCCTCAATTTATTTACATATTTATTTTAGCTCTGATGTTTTTTATTTCAACAATAAAAATCCATGTTAAATGATTAAGTGACATTAACTTAAACCACTAAGTTCCTTTATCACAAAAGAGAAAAAGAGGGCATTAAAAACATTTAAACTGAAATTAGTTTAGTTTACAGAAAGAGTCAGAGATTTGATATATTTTTCAGACATTTCCAAATCAATTAGTGATGTACCTGGTTTTCGTAATTTATTTTTATTGCGGTAACATTGTAGTTTATTTTTATTGAGGTAGCATTGGTTTACAATACTGCATTTGATTTTGGGAAATAGATTCACACCTCTTCAGCTATATTTTACCAGATGACATAGCTATTTAAATTGATGAGTTTTTTCTTTTTTGGGCATGTATATCTAGATAAAAAATCAAAATGCTAGCATTTCTTGATTTGGAGAAGAGTTGTATGGAATGTGTGTAAATGACACCTTTGGTAGTTAGAGGGTTTTCTCTAAATAGTACTGGTGAAATATCACAGCAGAGCTTAGCAGGTTAGTTGAGTGATTGCATTTTAAAAAATGTCTAACTACAAACATGCTCTATTTTCTGAAGTTTTCCTGAAGTTATTCCAGTAAAAATCACAGGTCCTTAGATCCACCTTTTATTTATTAAAAGACAAAAAAAGGGGCTCTTGTAGCCAATCCATGCTGGTTAATAACAATTTAGATCACTACTTAGGAAGTGCTGCATAGGGTGACACTGTGTTTGTGTAGGGGAGAAGGAAGCCCAGGATTGTGGGGTTGCCTGTAAATTCCCTAATTATGTCTTTACTCATTGTGTCCAATGTGTAAACTCTATGTTAATGCATTGATTGGCATTTGTTATTTACATTTTAGTTTTTATTCTATTTAGACAAGTAATCATAGGCATTTTCAGTAATATTAGTCTCACTACTTATTGGTAAAATGGGTGAAACCCATCTATTATTTTTTGTTGTTACTTAGTTATTTTATGGATAAACTCAATAGATAATTATTTTTAAATTTTGTAGGCATTACCTGCCAAATACATATTTTGCTTACCATGGTACAGTTTCATCTTGATCATTTTACCAAAATGTTTTGTTTCTGATACAGGGTGCTGAGTATGATTTATAATGACTTTAGGGAATCTGAGGGCTTTGTTAATTTTTACTTAAAAAAATAGAGTCAAAAAATTATAAGTGAGACATTTTCATTTAAAATTTTGATGAAAGTATAGCCAAAATAAAAGAAAATATTTCTGGGCTTACATGCTACAAAGTTAAAAGTATTTAATTGATGTCAGGCATGTGAAAGTCTATGTAAAACAACTAATAGGAATTTGATTGAATTTAAGGAATATGAGTGTCAAGGTTATCTCTGGAGATACTTACTAGAAAGATAACTAGATATTTGGTCCTGCCTAGCCCTGTTTTCTTTTCTGCTCTGTATTAAATCAAGTGTCTTGATTATACAAAGTAAATGATAATAATTATTATTTGATTAATTTAGCCTTTAAAGTCAATAGTAAAAATGTTTTAGCATTCATAATGTTATATAGATCTCTCACTTGGATATTCACAGGTAGGAAAATGAATACCACCACACATTACTACTTGCTTTGTTTGAATATGTATGTAACACTTGGTTTGATTTCAGTTTTAGTTTTGGTAAACAAATGAAACAAAACAAAACTTCACATAAATCTCTATTTTTGCTAGAATCTTTAGCAATTTATACTTATTAAAATTGTTCAGTTCAATTGTTAAAATTAAAGTAGATATAGGTTCTTTTTAAGAGTAGTTTGTAGAAATGTATCAGATAAGACATTGATCTCAGCCAATGAATCCATAGAGGTGAGAAACAATATCTGAGTATGAAATTTAGAAAAAAGATTTTTTTGCACTAATTCATTATTTTTTCTTTTCTTTCTTTGCTGCCTCTTCTATTGGATATTTATAATTTTTTCCCGCATTTTATTTTGTTGTGGGGGCATCTTTTACTCTTAAAATTTGAAAGCGAATACACATACACTTTCAAGTCCAAGGTCCCAGGTTTATTGTGTTTCTTCTGGCAATATGGATAATAATGGTTGCTACTCAGACCAGTCTTTTGCTCCTGAGAATTACTTGGCCTTAGAAAAAAACGATTCTCAGAATTTATTAATATGTCCTTCTAAAGATGATGTTGAAAAATCAGTTATCTTTAATGATGATGGCACTATGACAATTGAGATGAAAGTTCGATTTAAGATAAAAGAGGAAGAAACCATAAAGTGGACAACAACTGTCAGTAGAGGTGATCTTTCTAATAGTGATGAAAAGAGTAAGATAAGCAGTTTTCCAGGAAAAACAGATGATGGCTCATCTGGTATAGAGATTGCAGCTTGCTCATTGTCTGCAGTTGTCTCACCTATGGAGAAAGGCAATAATCAAGATGGCACTTTGGCAGAGGAGATAAACACTCAAAAGACAGATCAAGAGGTTGAAACTTGCAGTTCTGCTAATTGGGAGAATGCTGCTGTAGACACAGATACCGTTCAGGGAACTCAAGATCAAGACAAGTGTCACTTTTATAGGCCTCCTACTCCTGGACCTAGGAGAGTGAGACAGAAGAAATCTGTCGCAGGGAGAGTGACCTTATTATCAGAAACTGAAGTTCAAGAGAAAATAATTAGACAGAAAGATAGGGAAAACAAATCTGAGTATCACGTGTTCACATGTTCTTGCAGTAAAGTTTCATCAGTATCTAACAAACCAGTACTTGCTCAGATCAATAACAATGAGCAGATGGAGTCATCTTTAGAAAGAAAAAAGGAAAACAAACTGCCCAAGTCAAGCACAATAAGTGCTGGTGTTGTAGAAATTACAAGTCAGAAGATGTTAGAGATATCCCATAATAATGCCTTGCCGCGGACTGTATCAGAAAATTCAGCTCTGGAGGAAGGTGTAGTTGATACTGAAACATCAGACAAACAGCCTGGGATCAAGAACTTCAGTAGTTATGGTAACACTGATGATAGGTTCAGTCTTATTTTAGCAGATACAACTCAATCTTCAGATAATAACTCTGGCACTGACAAAATTTTCTCTGAGACTCCATTTGCAGTAGGATCCTCTGCTGTCACTTCAAGAATTAACAGATTAATTAATGAATTTACTCATTGTGGTTTTACAAAACTTCCAGAATATAAAAAGCAGATTTCATCATCTGTTGCCAGCAAAAAGAAAAAGAAATCCCATCAGCAAGTGATAGATTCTTGTTGTCAAGATGGGGACATTGTAAGCACAGGACTCCCCAGTAAAAGCAAGAGAATAAGCAAAGGACGTAGAATTACAGAGGAAACTATATTGCAAGTTACACACAGTCCCCTTAAAGGAGGGATGCTTTATGAGGGAGACCTCCATGCAAGTGAGACGGTATTTGAGTCGAATTATTTTTGTTCCCACAATAATCTCAGCTCTGTGAATTCCAGGGATATCCATAGAAACAAATTAAATACTACTCCAAATCCCAAGCTTCAAGGACTTTTAGCCAAAAGAAAATCCAGACCACTAAACAAATTAAGTTTATTAGGAGGACCTACAAAAATAGAAATTGATCAAGGAGACAAAGTATTTCCCTATAATGCATTTAAATATTGCAGAAATACTTTGGAAAATAAAAATTCATTTTCTCTGTTTAACATTCTTGAGCAAAAATCAAATACATTTTGGGGACCACAGGCTCATACAGAAATGACATCTTGGAATTTGAGAGGAATGGCAGAGAAGAATTTAGATTCCAAAGTGAACTCACATGTAACTTTAAAAAGTCAGAGAAAGCACAGAGGAGCTAAGTTGAAATCAGGCACAACTATAAGTAAACAACATGCTACAATCAAGGCAAATTCCTTAACTTCTTTGAAAACAACCATTTATCCTGAGGATGTTACCCATCATTCAGTTCAAAATTATAAACAGGGACGGTTGCAGATCATAAAGCCACATCCAGCCTTCCAACCTAGAAAGTCAGCTCCAATATGCAAAAAGGGAAGAAATGTGGTAAATTTTAACAGTGGTCTTCTAGGAAATAATTCCCATGCAAATTCTGGGAAGGGAAATAATTTTGTTGTAGAAAGTGATAAGCACATAGCTAAAAATGACAGCTTGGTAGGAGATAATCTAGGCAAAGAGGTAGGTAAATCTTTTAACAAAGTTAACAGTGAAGAACTCCCCAAAGATCTCTATGACAGCCATAGTGGAACTCTGAATGATGCTTACTTGCTTTCCCTGCATGAATATTGTACTTTGTCACAGTCAGTTATTGGTGATCATATTACTAAAAGTAAGGTATATGCTGAAAAGTCAGTACCAGAGGTAAATCTTATTTACCAAGAAGTAAACTTAGCTACAAAAGGGCAAAGTGTAGAAGTTGCCGTTCAAGTAGATCCTATGGAAGAAGACACTCCAAAAGACCTTTTATCAGTCCTGTTGCTTTACCAACTACAAAATTTAGTTCCTAGTATTCACAAGACACAGGATGGAATTGTTCAAATGCCAGTTTCACTTGCAGGTGTTCCCTTTCCTTCCACAATATGTAATTCATCCACTAATGTCCTTTTAGCTTGGCTCCTGGTGTTAAACCTAAAGGGAAGTATGGATAACTTCTGTCAAGGTGATCCTCACAAGATTACCAGCAGAACTTCAGAAATACTTGCTTTGTTGGAGGTTCTAAAGCACATTGCCATCACAGAGGAAGCTGATGACTTGAAGGCTGCTGTGACCATTTTAATGGTGTCAACCACAAATCACCTTGGACTCACAGAGAAAGAACAAAACATAGAGCCAGTAGATCCTTCTGCAAATTGTTTGATCCCCCACATTCTGAGAGTTCTAAAGTGCACTGAAAATGAAAAAACCCAGAAAATTTGCTTAGATAGAAGCTCCTCTACCAGTGAGGATTGTTCCCCGGAAGTCTGTGTTTCAGAGGTGACTTGTTCTCCATGTGAGAGGTACACTGTGAATAAGACTGACCATCCAAAAAAGACTTGTAACCCCAGTGATACTTTTTTCCCTAGTGATGACTGTGCTATGAATCAGACCTACCTGGATAAGGCTTGTTTCCTGGGAGAGATCTGTTTACTTACTGATGCTGTGGCTTCCCATAAAGCGTGTGCTCATGAGGAAAACCTTATCTATGAGACATCTTGCCCAAATGATGAGTCCTACATTCCGAACAGAGTCTGCAATTGCGGTGATTTTCTAAATTCTAAAGAAAACCCTTATACTGATAATTTGGAATCAACTGAGGTATTAGAACGACTTGATGAGGTTCAGGAAGACCTACATATTTTGGCAGACCTAAGATGTAAAAATGACTTTAATTTGGTGGTGCCACACCACAATACCAGTGATTTAAGCCATTGTGACTTTTTCCTAAATGCAGCTGAATCAGAATTTGATAAGAAACATAGTTCTGTAGATTCTCAAAATTGTTCATTAAAGAAATTCCAGCAAACAAATGCATATACATCCTTTGATAAGGAAGAATCAAAGACTTCTGAAGAAACAGGCTCAGTAACCAACAGCGTGACATCAAGTGAAGGAAACATTTCAGCTTTAGAATCTTTTGAAGAATTAGAAAACCAGGACACTGTTATCTTTAATGCGAAGGCGAATGCAAGAGAGCAAACCCCTGAACAATCAATCAAAAAAAAGCTAGTGGGCAAAAATTTGAAAATGGTGAAAGTCTCAAACAGGAACATTGTAGAAGAAGAAAGTAGGAATGGTGTAATTTGTGAGAAAATCAGTAGGAAGCTGGCAGCACCAACATCTTTAGTATTTTGCTATGATTCTAACCAAAATACTGAAAAGGATCTCAATGAAGGAGACACTAAAATGAGAGTTAAAGTGATGGTGAAAAACATGGAAATTGGAAGTTATTCAGGGTCCTCTCTTGATTTTAAAAACTGCTTTAAAAGTAAAGTAAATTCTGCTTGGTTAGACTATCCACTGGGCAGTGAGAATGAGCACCCACATAATTGCTCCAATGATACTGATGAGGTGATTGTCCAAGATAAAGGATACAATCAGGGATTTGTTAAAAGGACAATAGAAACACTTTATGGTAAAGCACAGCTTATGAAACCATCTTTTTTTCCTGGGTCTATAAACACATCTCAGGTTTATCCTTGCAATTCTGTGGAATTTCAGTGTGCTAGGAAAGTAGGTCTTTATGATTCTGAAGGTCAGTCATTTGACTCTTCTGTACAGATACCTAGTAGTTCATCTGTGCTGCAGAAATTTCAGGAGGAAGGACAAGATAAATGTCACTTTAATGACATAAGGGCCAGTTATCATGGAGGAGATGTTGTGGAGCATGAAACAAAACAAAATGAACATAAAGTCTTGAGGAATATAGAGGAAGGAGTACTGATTGACAAAGGCAAGTGGCTTCTAAAAGAAAATCATTTGCGAAGAGTGTCATCACTTGAAAATTCTGGCATATGTGAAAACATGTACACATCAGTGGATGCTTTACTTGGTAATAGCAGCAGTGAGGTGCCATATTCACATTTGGAAAATTTGGGCACAGCTGCAAGCCTGGCTGAACGATCCTCCTCAGAATTGGAGGAACTGACTCAAACTCTTGAACTGAAATGCAATTATTTTAACATGCCTCATTGTAGTGACTCTGAGCCTTTTCTTGAGAATTTGGTAGATGTTCAAAATAAAACTTGTGCCAAGGTGAGAACACGAGATCACTTTGCACAGCAGAAAGGTAATCAAATGTCGGAAAGAGCATGCACATCAGTCACTCATGTCTTTACACCAGGTGGTAACAAAGTTCATCCAGTCTCTAATGATACCATTAAAAACCAACCATTGCCTGGTTGTGATGTAGTTCATGGTGCACTTCAGGAAGGTGACTCTTTGGATAAACTCTATGCTATTTGTGGTCAACATTGCCCAATACTAACTGTTACTATCCAACCTGCAAATGAGGAAGACCGGGGATTTGCATATTGTAAATATTCTGATATTGAAAACTCCTTGGGTCTGCATTTATGGATGAAAATAGAGCCATATTTTCTACAGTCAAACAAAAACATGCTTAGAGATGAGAACAGAAAAGCAAGTAGGAGAAAAACATTTATTGATAATGCCATTAGCAAAACATTTGATAAACTTCATTTCAATAACATGTTGGACTTGTTGGATAAAAGAAGAAAATTAAAAAGAATGAATTTCTTGGATTTAAAGAAAAAAAATCTCAAAAAATTCCAGTCTCCTTTAAAGAAAAGGTTTTATGTAAATTTCTTGTATACATTGTTAGTTGTAGATAATGTACATTTGACACACTTCAATAAATCAGACCCTAATAATCAAAGAAATGAAGTATATGAAAGAGTTGATGAGAATAACAACTTATTAAATAACAGATTCCAGAACCCAAGAACAAATTTTAACCAACTACTAAGGGAAATATCAACTATCATTTCTATTTTGAAATGCTTGGCCAAGCCTGCCTATTTTGCCAAGTTGAGACATCCTTAAATTTTAGTGACAGAAATATATTAGAATATTTTATATTTTTGAATATGAAAATATCTTCATTTGGGAAAGGAAAACCAATTAGATTTAACTGATCTTGAAAGTAGTGATGAATGAAAAGATGTATAATTTCATTATTAGCACAGCTAATATTACCATGCAGCCAATACATGTTTTCTTCATAATAAGAGGAAGCACATGGAATAGATATGGAGTAGACAACCTCTGAGAATTGTCACTTCTTCAAAATGAGTTTAAGCTTGCTCTGTTCTTAATTTTTTCAACAATTGTAGATTCTGTTTCTATTCTGCTATTTGGAAAATTTCCTGTTTTTCCTGAATGTATGTTATTTTCTGTATCTGTTACTTCTAGGTCTGCATGTACTCTAAAGACAAAAATTATGCATATATACATATTTACATATTTTTATATGTTGTTAGTATAGTGTGAAATATGTGCTGATTTGATTAAGGAATGATTGTGAGATCTTGACAACAATCTCAGGTTTCTTATGCCAAGTTGATTGAGTGTAGTTTATTTCTAAACATCTGTCTAATGAACTTGCAAGCATTTCTGTGGGACAGGAATCACTATTTACCCTCATGACTAGAAGTAGATGCTCTACTACTAAACTGCCTCTTTAACACATTGCCTATAAATTACAATCTTATAAACTTTAGGAAAGTGTCAGGAAATCCAAATAGATCAAGAAAGAATAGGGGGAAAATTTAAGACATGCTTTGTGAATGAAAAAGTAGCTGTAATGCATTTATGGAAAAGAGAAATGTGCCTTTAAAATTCTCAAAATTGAAAAATAGTGGCATAAGAGGAACATAACAGATTTTATTTTTTGTTTATCTGCATTAATGCAAAATTTAGTTAGATCTAAATAACATTTTACTGAGAAAAGTAAATTAGATTGCTAACCATGAATTGTCTGTTTGAATACTTTGGTATTTTACCTGGGATTTAGCAGGGGAAGATTTTTTCTTTAAATTACATTATTTTTTATTAAGATAACATTATTTTACAGTATTGGATATGATTTAGAGGTATAGGTACATACGTCTTCAGATAAATGTACAGCTACCATAAAAGCACCCAAATCCTGCACCATAGTGAATTGAGTTCTATTCACCATTTCCTTTCTACTCTAGCAACCCCCCTCTGATAGCCTCAATTCTAAAGTTAGGGTTTGTTTTGGTTTAGTTTTGTCTGTTCCTTTGCTTTGTTTATATTTTATGTATGAGTGAAATCATCCCGTGTGTGTCATTCTCCTTATTTTGCTTATCACAATTCACTTTGGTTCAATCCGTGTTGTTGCTGATGGCAGGATTTCATTTATTTAATAGCTGAATAATTTACTATTATGTATATATACTAACTTTGGCACTTAATACATTTCCATAGCTTGGATATTGTAAATACTGCTACAGTGAATATAGGATGCATACGGGCTTTTAAATTAGTGTTTCTGCATTCTTTGGGTAAATACCTAGGAATGGAATTGCTGGATTGTATGGTAGATAAGTTTTTAATATTTGAGAATTCTCCATAGTATTTTGCAGAGGCTGGAAAAGTCTATATTCCCACCAACAGTGTAAAGGATACCTTTTTCTCTACATCCTCACCAATACTTCTTGTTTCTGGTCTTTTGAATATGGGCTATTCTCACAATTGTAAAATGGTATTTTTTTGTAGTTATGATTACGATTTTCATGATAAATAATGAGCATTTTTCATGTGCCTATTGGCCATATGTATGTATTCTTTAGCGAGGTGTCTGTTTAGCTCTTCTGCCCATTTTTTGATTTCTTTTTTGTTGTTGTTGACGTGTGTGGTTTCCTGTAAATACCAGTCATTGCCACATGTAGGACATAAAAAATCCTCTATTTGGTAGGGTATCTTTACATATTTTTAAAAGATTTATTTTATCTATTTATGCATATAAGAACTAGGATGTAAGCTAGAGGTGCGGGAGGTGAGAGGGTTCACTAGAGACAGAGTGGGGAGCATAAAAGGCTGATCTACTGAAATACACTGCTGAGGGGAGCAGCGGGTGAGATAGGAGAGGTCTGCTGCTCCATGTGGGTTAGTTCCTGGCCAGGGATCAAACTCAGGCCACAGTGGCTGGTGATAGCTTGATAGTGCTGAGACTTAACCCCTGTGGCACCAGGGAGGCCTTATCTTTACATTTTAATGACCATTTCTTTGACTCTGCAGCAGCTTTTTAGTTTGATGTAGTCCCGTTTGTTTAGTTTTGCTTATATTCCCACTGGCTTTGTTAAACATCTTTGAAGCCAGTGCTGTAGAAGCCAATGCCTATATTTTAGGTGTTTTATGGTTGAAGGTCTTGCATCCAAATTTTTAATATATTTTGAGTTAATTTTTATGTGTGCTGTGACAGAGTAGTGTTGGGTTTTTTTTTTGTGTTTTTTTAAATAATAAATTTTATTTTTATATCCCCATACAATTGCAACCCCCCCCATCTGACCCCAAACCCTCCGCTCCCGCCGCCCACCCCCCCAAAAGTGTCTGTGGTTCATAGTTTTTTGTTGATTTTGATTTTCACTTTCTTCTAGTTATTCATTTTCCTGGTCCCTTATTTAAGTTTTCTAGATTTCTACTATGAGTGAGACCATCCGGTATTTTTCTTTTTCTTTCTGGCTTATTTCACTGAGCATGATCCCTTCCAGCGCCATCCATGTTGCTGCAAATTGCATGTGTTTATCTTTTTTGAATGCTGGGTAATATTCCATGGTGTATATGTACCACATCTTCTTGATCCAGTCATCTATTTTTGGGCATTTGGGCTGTTTCCAAAGCTTAGCTATTGTAAATAGTGCTTCTATAAACATAGGGGTGCAGGTGCTCTTTGGAATTGATGTTTCTGTGTCCTTTGGGTAAATACCTAGGAGTGGAATTGCTGATCATATGGAAGTTCTATGTTTAGTAGGTCCAGAAATCTCCACACAGCTCTCCATAGTGGTTGGACCAGTTTGCACTCCCACCAACAGTGCAGAAGAGTTCCTTTTCTCCACAACCTCGCCAACATTTGTTGTTGCTAGTTTTTTTAATATGTGCCATTCTCACTGGTGTACGATGGTATCTCATGGTAGTTTTGATTTGCATTTCCCTGATTACAAGTGATGTTGAACATTTTTTTATATGCCTGTTGGCCATTTTCATTTCCTCTTCAGAGAAGTTTCTTTTTAGCTCTTCTGCCCATTTTTTGACTGGATTATTTTCTTTGTTGTTGTTGAGTCTCATGAGCTCTTTGTAGATTTTTGTGATCAGTCCTTTATCATTAGTGTTGTGTGCAAAAATGTTCTCCCAGTTGGTGGGGTTTCTCCTTGTTTTTGTTATTGTCTCTTTTGCTGTGCAGAAGCTCTTTAATTTGATGTAGTCCCAGCTGTTTATCTTTGCCTTCACTATCACTGCTTTGGGTGATGTGTCTGTAAAGATGTCTTTGTTGTGCATATCACGTAGTGTTTCGCCTATATTTCCTTCTATGTATTTTATGGTTTCAGGTCTTATGTTTAGTTCTTTAATCCATTTTGAGTTGATTTTTGTGTATGGTGTAAGGTAGTGGTCAAGCTTCATTCTTTTGCATGTAGCGACCCAGTTTTCCCAGCAGCATTTATTGACCAAACTTTCTTTGCCCCAATGCATATTCTTTGGTCCTTTGTCAAAGATTAGTTGACCGTAAATCTGTGGGTTTATTTATCTGTGGGTTTATTTATATTCTATTCAATTGGTCTGTATGTCTGTTCTTGTTCCAATACCATGCAATTTTGATGATTATGGCTTTGTAGTATAGTTTGAAGTCTGGGAGTGTGATGCCTCCATTCCCTTCTCTTTTTTTTTCAGGAGAGCTTTGGCTATTCGGGTTTTTTTGTGATTCCATATGAATTTCATCAATAATTGTTCTATTTCTTTGAAGAATGACATTGAAATTTTGATTGGAATAGCATTGAATCTGTATATTGTTTTTGGTAGGATGGCCATTTTAATAATGTTTATTCTTCCAATCCATGAGCAGGGGATGTCTTTCTATTTCTTTGTGTCTTCTTCTATTTCTTTTAACAGTGTTTTATGGTTTTCTTTGTATAGGTCCTTTACCGCTTTTGTTAGATTTATTCCCAAATATTTGATTTTTTTTGTTTCGATAATAAAAGAGATTTTTTTTAATTTCTTCTTCAGATTTATTGTTTGTGTATAGGAAGGCTACTAACTTTTGCATGTTGATTTTGTATCCTGCCACTTTACTGAACTGATTGATGAGTTGAATTAGTTTTTCTGTGGAGTTTTTGGGGTTCTCTATGTATATTATCATATCATCTGCAAATAGTGATAGTTTGATTTCTTCTTTTCCTATTTGGATTCCTTGTATGTCTTTCTCTTGTCTTATTGCTCTGGCTAGGACTTCCAGTATTATATTGAAAAGCAGTGGTGAAAGTGGACATCCTTGTCTTGTTCCAGATCTTAATGGAAATGCTTTCAGCTTTTCACCATTGAGAATGATACCGGCTGTTGGCTTGTCATATATGGCCTTTATGATGTTGAGGTATGTTCCTTGTATCCCAAGAATTTCAAGGGCTTTTATCATGAATGAATGTTGCACTTTGTCAAAAGCTTTCTCAGCATCTGTTGATATTATCATATGGTTTTTATATTTCTTTTTGTTGATGTGTTGGATAACGTTGTTTGATTTTTGGATGTTGAACCATCCTTGTGTGCCTGGAATGAATCCTACTTGGTCGTGGTGAATTATCTTATGGATACATTGTTGGATTCTGATAGCTAAAATTTTATTGAGGATTTTTGCATCAGTGTTCATTAGGGAGATTGGCCTGTAGTTTCCTTTTTTGTGTTGTCCTTATTCCGTTTTGGTTTAGTGTAATGTTGGCTTCATAGAACGTGTTTGGTATTGTCCCTTCCTTCTCAATTTTTTGGAAGAGTTTGTGAAGGATCGGCACTAATTCGTCTCTGAATGTTTGGTAGAATTCATTTGTAAATCCATCAGGTCCTGGGCATTTGTTTTTGGGGAGGTTTTTGATTACCATTTCAATTTCGCTGCTTGTAATTGGTCTGTTTAGGTGTTCTATTTCTTCTTTATCTAGCTTTGG